GGATAAAGTAGATGTGGTATATATATACAATGGAGTATTACTGGGCAATCAAAAAGAATGAAATCTTGCCATTTGCAACTACATGAATGGAACTAGAGGGTATTATGCTAAGCAAAATTAGTCAGAGAAAGACAAATATCACATGACTTCACTCATATGAGAACTTTAAGATACCAAACAGATGACCATACATATCTATATATAAAAATAATATAAAAACACGGAGGTAAGGGGCGCCTGGGTGGCTCAGTCAGTTGAGCATCTGACTGCGGCTCAGGTCATGATCTGAGTTCAAGTTTCTGAGTTCAAGTCCTGCATTGGGCTATGTGCTGACAGCTCAGAGCCTGGAGCCTGCTTCAGATTCTGTCTCTCTCCCTCTCTCTCTGCCCCTCCCCCACTCACATTCTATCTCTCTCTCTCTCCTTCAAAAATAAATAAACATTAAAAAAATTATAAAAAAACAGGGAGGTGGACAGAACATAAGAGACTCTCAAATATGGAGAACAAACAGGATATCTGAGGGATTAAGGGAGGGGGGGAATGGGTTAAATGAGTAAGCGGCATTGAGGAATCTACTCCTGCAATCATTGTTGCACTATATGCCACCTAACTTGGATGTAAATTAAAAAAAAAAATTTTTTTTTTTTAAGTAGAAAACAGAACAAAACAAAATTGTATTCCCTGTGTCTGGCTTGGTACCCAGCTCATCAATAGCTAGGGATTCAGGAAGTTCATTGGATAAATGACTAAGAGCAAATTAAAATAAGGTACCACGTGTCACGTGAAAGATAGCTTTAAAGGACTGGCAATATTCAGTATTAGATGAGGGTGTGGAGAAGCAAGGCATTTGCACTCATTCTTGGTGGAGGTATAAATCGATACAACTCAAATACCTATCAAAGTGTTCAATGTTGATACCTGTAGATCCAGCAATTTCACACCTAGGTATTTATTTTACACGCACAGCAACAAAAATATGTATCTGTATAATAATGTTCCCAGAAGTTGCTTGAAGTGTTGAAAAACTGACAACAACTTAAATGCCTTTCCAGACGGGGCTGAAAAACAAAATGAATTTCTGTAGTATGCAGCCATTATAAGGAATGTAAGTGAATCCTAATGTACTGATAGGAGCCACTATCTATCTAACTGATAGTGAGACAAAGCTACCCAGAAGTATAAAATATAACCTCATTTTGTTAAAAAAAAAAATGCTACATATATAAACACAACTTAAAAGTATGATCTTTCTCTCTCACTCTCTCTCACAAATAAATAAGCATTAAAAAATTTTTAAGGGGCGCCTGGGTGGCTCAATGGGTTTGGTTAAGCGATTGACCGGCTCAGGTCATGATCTCACGGTTTGTGAGTTCGAGCCCCCTGTCGGGCTCTGTGCTGACAGCTCAGAGCCTGGAGCCTGCTTCAGATTCCATGCCGCCCTCTCTGCCCCTCCTCAACTCATGCTCTCTTTTTCTCTCTTTCTCCTCTCAAAAATAAACATAACCAAAAAATTTAAAGAAATAAAAGTATGGTATTTTTAACAAGAAGAATGGGGGTAGGGAATAAACCAAGCTATTAATCAGTTTTACCTTCGAGAGTAGGGAGGCCGTCGAGGACTTCTACTATTTATCGATTACTCTAAACCAGCAAGCCTTATAATTAATTTTTGTTTAATGTCTTATTAAACTCTAGATGATTTGCATAACTAGACTTGAGGATAAGGTTCATGTTGCTTCTGCTGAAATAAAGCTACAACCGGTGAGGGGCTGCACTGGAAAATGGCCTCCCGAGGACCTGCCATCCCCAGACCACCCAAGTGTCGGCGCCCGTCTTTAAATCCTACAGGTGACGTCTGGGACGAGGGAAGATGGAGTAACACAAGTGGGGAGTGGAGTCCTGGGGCTGGCATGCCTCCCGAAGGAAGCCGGCAGCAGGACTCACTGGGCTTTTCCAAGTGCAAGTTCCTCCCTGGAGCTGCTTGCTGTCCCTTGAGAAAAGATTCGTCGGGCACTCTTCACTTGCTCAGACTGGTAGCCAAGCTCTCTTAAGAACCGGAGTATTGAGGGGCGCCTGGGTGGCGCAGTCGGTTAAGCGTCCGACTTCAGCCAGGTCACGATCTCGCGGTCCGTGAGTTCGAGCCCCGCGTCGGGCTCTGGGCTGATGGCTCGGAGCCTGGAGCCTGTTTCCGATTCTGTGTCTCCCTCTCTCTCTGCCCCTCCCCCGTTCATGCTCTGTCTCTCTCTGTCCCAAAAATAAATAAACGTTGAAAAAAAAAAATTTAAAAAGAGAACCGGAGTATTGAGGCAGCACGAGGAGAGAAGGGAAACCCTGAGCTCCTAGCCATCCCATCAGGGAGGCCCAAGTACCGCTCTCTCATCTCGGATCCCCGTGCGCCTGCAAACCGGTCTGCACCGGGGCAGAGCGGGCCTCGCCGAGCGCTGCGCCGTGAGCCCACCCCGCACGTGGGCGCGGCAGCCGGCGGGGCCCACGAAGGCCGCGGGGTCCCGCGCCTGCCTTCCCTCCCGCCGCACGGCGCGTGCAGGCTGCAAAGACGCCCGCCCCGCTGCGGCTGCTCGCGAAGGTCGGGGCGGTCACGGAGGAATCTACGCGCTCGGCCACAGGTCACTCTCCTCCGCCAGCTTTGGGACCTGTCGCGGCGTCTCGTGGCCGGCTAGACGTTTCCTCCTTTCCTGCCCTCCCCCTTCAGTAACCCACCCAAGGCCAGCCCCGGCGGGAGGGTATACGCCCCATTTTGCAGAGAAGCAGCGGGCCGGAGTGGCGGGGAACCTGGCCAAGATCACCGGGCATTACAAGGGTTTCTCTCCCACCCTAGATGCTTCCATGTGAATGTGAATGGGCCTAAGTGCTCCTTTCTTTCCCTCAATGGCCGGCCCGAGGAAGAAAGGTGCGGTCTTTGAGCGCCGGGTATGGGTCTGGACCTTGCTTTCCAGGGACCGGGGCATCCGAGGTCGCGAGCCTTCCGCGGGGGCAGCCGTGGCGGAGCGGGGGGGCCGGAGCTCCCACATCCGAAGTTACTGGAGAAATAAACTCCCCAAAGAGGGCTAAACGACCCCCCGGGCAATTCGGAGGCGTCCCGGACGCCGAGCCCCCCGCGTCCAGCTGCACCCACCCGGGATCCGCGAGGCGCCTCTTCCCAGCCCTTAGGGCGGTGCTAGGCTCCCCACGAGGGGTAAAAGGCCCCTTGGTCCTCGGGGCTTGACGCCGTCTTCGGCCGGGAGCAGTTCTTGAGAGCTCAAAGCCGACAGGCAGAGGAGAGACCCCGGGACGCGGGTCGCAGCCTTACCGGGCGAGCTCGGGGTTTGGCGTGTGCACCCGGGGGCTTATCTGGGACCCTCGGCAACTCCTGCCCAGGCTTTTTGCTCCCCCTCCCGGCAAGCCTGGAGGGGCAATAGTGCCAGCGGCAGAGCGGAGGGCGAGCGCTCTGGCAGGGTCCCGGGAGGAGTTGGAGACCTGAGGAGTTAAACACGCGACCCCAGGGGACTGGAGGGCTAGTGGAGCCTCGGCCAATGGCTGCGGTGGGCGGGGAGGAGACCCGCCCGAGACCAGCCGGAGACCTGCGTGGGCCGCGTCCCTTCCCCACCCTCGCCCTCTCTATGCCCCGCGGCCCCGCCCGCCCGCCGCCCTCTTAAACCCCGCTCGACCCTCCCGGCCCGCCCGTCGCCTACCAGTGCGGAGCCTGCGCCGCCCTCAGGGTCCTGGAGGCGCGCGACTGGAGGCGGCGCTCTCGAAGGTGGGTGCCGGGCTGGGGCGCCGCGGTGGCCCGGGGCCGTCGTCCGCCGGGGCGGCTGGGGAGCGCAGGAAGCTGGCGCGAGCGCAGCTCGTCTTGGGTGGCCTTTTTGCCCTCTTGGGGCTTTCACTCCTTAAGTGGCTTTCGACCCTCGAGTGGCATATCCTCGCGGTCAGGGGAGGCCAAGAGCCGAGCGCCTTCGGGGGCTTAGGAGGAGACAGGCAGATGCCCTCGTCGTGGCTGACCTCTTCTCCTGACCCCGTGTTCTTTAATTTCGGAGTCACGACCCTGCTGGGTTTCCTTATTGGGCTCATTGATCTTGCCCTCGAGCCCCGCCGGCCCTGAAGGGGCTCCATTCCTCGGCCTTGGTGAACTTGTGTCCATTAAAACTCCATCCTTTCGGGGTGGGAGCGGTAGCTGCCGAGGCTTCTCTCCCACTTGGCCTGGGACTCGACCCAGGTTCCCCTAAACCCTCAGGTGGAGTGACCAGAGTTCCCACAGGGACTTGGGGAATGTGGCGGGACTCGGCCATGTGGCAAAGCCGGCGCCGGCTGCGGAGCTCGGAGGGGAGCCGAAGGTGGCGCCCTCCTCCTCAGCAGCCCGGGCTCCTGGGTCCGAGGGGTCAGCACCGAGAATCGTGGAGCGACGGCCTCGCCGACCTGCGTCCGGGTTTGGGGAGCTCGTCTGTTTCTGCGCTAACGGGCTGGGGGCCCTTGACTATTCCCTGACTGCTGGGGACCCAGGAGCGCTCTGCGCGCCTGCCCCAAAGCGCACCACGGCCTTGCGCTCGGGCCGCGGCCCCGGGAGTGGGAGGGTCTGGGGGCTCCAACCCACCCTGTAAAAGACTTTCGTTGGACAGAGAAGAAGGCGGAAGAGGGAACTTGAAATTTGCAGGAGCCGGGTTTGGGGCGAGATGTAGAGACTAGGTTGTTGGAAACCCATCTGTGCTTGGTCGGGGTGCGTTTGGAGAGGGAAGGCAAAAGCGACTCTTACCAGGAACTTGGAGTGGAGCAAGATCCCGGAAGATTTTCGTTTGGGGTTTTGTGTGTTTGTTTGCATTGCGGTTTTGTTTTGTTTTGTTTGCGGGGTAGGGCTTGCGAGATCGAGTTGGGAGGTTGAGGCGATTCCCTTCGACCCGGGGCTAGCTCGGATGATAGAGGGTAGGCAGGGAGGAGCAGGGTCGCAGCGCCCTGCGCACCTCACTCGGCTGCGCTTGCTTTCCCGCAGACCCGCTGCGCGCTGTGCCCCCAGGATGGCTCTGCGGCGGCCAGGTGAGGCCGGACCCCAGGGCAAGATGTGCTATCCTCCTGAGAGGCTCCAGGGAGGCGCCCAACACCTGGACGCCTACTACACGCCTTTCCCGCCCTATGGCCACTATGCGAACATGCTAACCGCTGCGGAGGAAGATTTCCAACCTTTCCCGCAGCTGGAGGCCGCCGTGACTGCATCCCACGCGATGCCCCCCTTTGCCTTCCGGCCCGCGCCTCTCTTGCTGAGCACCAGCCTGGCTCTGCAGAGGGAGCCGCTCTACGACCTGCCCTGCTACAGCAAGCTGCCACCGTGGTCCCCAATTCCCCACCTCCCCAGAGAGGTGCCGCACTTCCTCAACAGCAGCCGCGAGTATGCAGGCGCCACCGGTGAAGACTTGGGCCATACTGGTGGCCGAAGTGACACTGGCCAGTGCTGTGGGCCTGAAATTTTAATGCCGCCGCCGGCTGTAAATGCTTCCCTGTTCCCTGAGGGGGTGAAGGCCTCCCAGTTATTATCTTGCTCCCCCAGCAAGCGGTCTGAGGAGGGCTCCAAACCCCTGAACCAACAAGGGAAGTCATCTCACCGCTACCACTTCACCCAGGAGGACCTGCACTTAGTTCTGTTCGGGGTCATTCCCAGCCTGGATCACTCAGCCCCTCTGCACCACGCGGTTTCCGGTTTCCTGGTCCCCACGGACAGCTCTGGTAAAGGTGGTCACGTCGGGCAGGAGTCGGGTTGGATGGGAATAGAGGTGGGAGGAGTGGGGAAGGAGCACTTCAAGGTGGATCTGAGACGGCTCAAGTCCAGCTGGGAAGTGTAGATATTTCCCATCAGGATGGAGCCCTCACTTCTGAGGCTGTACTTGCTTTAATGCTTGATTCCTAAGGTTGGCTTTAGTGGAGGAGGGAGAAGAGAGACATGGCTCACATAGTGGATGTCAGCTGGGATCAGATTCTACCGGGATAATGCAAGGTAGCTCCACTAGAGCCTCACGCAATTCATACTGGGAGTCCCAGTTTAGCCATCTATCTCCACCATATTCAAAATCAGCATTATCTCTGCTTCTCAAGTTCTTTAAATTTGCAAAACGGGGTTAATTACATAACCTTGCAGGGGCTGTTCTGAGTCTCAAAGGAGAAATTTTATGTGTGAAAGGAGCAGGAAAAATATAAAGGATAAATCAACATTAAACTGAGGATAATGGTTACCTCTAAGAAGCAGGGAGGGAAACACCTTATGAAAAATAAAATCTTAACCCCTTTTCTAGGATCTGATTCTCTTTGTCGAACTCTGGATAAAGACTCCCTTCAACTACCAGAAGGTAAGCAGGGCCTCTGGCTTGGATTTCTGTCCGGATGTAATGCAGTCAGTTGCCTCATTGGCTTTCCTGCCTCGGGCTTTTCCCCTAGGTCTCTGCCTCAAGCAGACGATGTTTGGTGAGGTGCGGCATTTTGGTGTATTCTGCAGTAGCCTTGTTGCCAAAGGAGTCAGATTTGGACCCTTTCAAGGTAAAGTGGTCAACGCCAGTGAAGTCAAGACCTATGGAGACAATTCTCTGATGTGGGAGGTAAATAAATATGCTTCTGGTGGGTTGACAAAGTGGGAAATGAAGCCAGTGGAGAACAGTGTCGGCTTCTGGCCCCCTGGGAGGGGGTCACTCTGCTTCTGTGCTGCCTGTTTTACAGTATAAAGAGAAGGGAAGAGGGGCACCTGGGTGGCTCAGTTGGTTGAGCTTCTGATTTCCACTCAGGTCATGATCTCACGGTTTGTGGGTTCAAGCCCCTGCATCGGTGCAGAGCCTGCTTCGGATCCTCTGCCCCCTCTCTCTACCCCTCCGCAGCTCGTGTTCTCACTTTCTCTCTCTCTCTCTCTCTCTCTCTCTCTCAATATAAATAAATAAACTTAAAAAAAAGAGAGAGAAGGAAAGGCAGATATTCACTCCATTAAGATAGCACCTCTAAGTGAATTCTTTGTGTTTCCTGATGCCTTAAATCGTTTTAATCTGTGAAGATTATCAATGGAATATACATATTGAACAGTTAATATTTATCTTTGTTTATGGGCAAAACCAAAAAACATTTATGGCTTAAATGTTATACAGTGCTGCTGAGAATATGCCAAAGAGAATAAAAACAAATTTTTAAATTTGATATCATCTGCCTATGAAATTAGCTATGGGTTTTTAAAAACTGATACTCTTGACTGTGTTTGGGGCATGCTGGTCAGACTCCAGTTAGAATATATCAGGTACCTCCCCTTGACCCTGAATTCCTACTTCTAGGAATATAGGGCAGGAGTGTAATCTGAAATTCAGACCCTGTGGAAGATGTTAATCACAAGGTTGCTGATAATAACAAAACGTTGGAGACTGTGGAATTGCCAACAGCAGAGAAAGAATTACATGCATGACAACCAGGTTGGGAAAAAGCACAAAACTAATTGGTTGTCTTTAAGTTGGGAATTAAATGCAAACTTCTCTAGTTCCCCTTTTCTCTGCTTATGGAATTAAGATACTATAGAAATTTGGAAATTAAAGTGATAAAAGTAAGAACCTTTAAGAATGTCACAGCACCGATAGAGATAAGCTAATACATCTATTTGGGCTTAATAATGTTAATAATAAGTATATTCAGTGGACTGAAGCATGAGATTTGGTAATAAGTAATGTTATAGGTTAGGCACAAAGAAAAAGCGCATTTTAAACTTTACGTTTCATTTTTTTTAGATCTTCGAAGATGGTCATTTGAGCCACTTCATAGATGGAAAAGGAGGTGCGGGGAACTGGATGGCCTACGTCAACTGCGCCCGTTTCCCCAAGGAGCAGAACCTGGTTGCGGTGCAGTGTCAGGGGCAGATATTTTACGAGAGCTGCAAGGATATCTGCCAGAACCAAGAGCTCCTTGTGTGGTATGGAGACTGCTACGAAAAGTTTTTGGACATTCCCATGAGCCTTCAGGTCACAGAGCAGGGGAAGCCGGTGCCTGGGCCCTCTGAAGGTGAGTGCACACCTCGGCCTTTCCCAGCACACCTTTGCCTTTCCCAGTGAGGCTCTTCTAGTAGAAAGACTTGGCACATGAACCACACCCTCCTGCAGCATCCCCGCTGACTTGCGGGGCACCCCCTTCGCAGAGGCTACTGCAGGGGAGACTAAACTGAGGATGTCTCTAACCAGGGGGACACTACCCAGCGAAAGGAAAATGCCCTTATCTTTCCACAGCTGCTGAGGCTACTAATATTCACAAGGAAACCTTTTCTTCTTCCCCATCACCTCCTCTCAGAGGAAAAAGTAAATAAAGGCCAAATAAAATACATGGATGCAACTTCTTCCCTAGGTGAGCCAGTTTCTGATTCATCTCTGCTCAGGCTAACACAGCTGATGACTCCATCAAAGCTCTTAGAGCAGTGTTTTTCAAGTAGGGGTTGCAGTATCTTAATGTGGGAAATCAATTTAGTGGTTTAGACCATCTTTAAAGAAAAAAAAAGAATTAGAATAGAGTAGAATAGAAAATATTGATGTGAATCTCAAGTATTGTTTGGTGAAGTTTGATTGATTACAAGTGGAGATGTGTGGTATACTGAGTCTCAAATATAAAATATATTTCCTACTGTGGATCTTCGTCCCCTTGGAGAAGCATTGGGTTAGACTCTCACTCTCAGATTTTAATGTGGGTGTTGACTATCTGGGGATCTTGGAAAGATGCAGATTCTCATTCAGGGCTGGGACAACCTAAGATTCTGCATTTCTATCAAGCTTCCTGGGGAGGCTGATGCTGTTGGCCCCTGGACCACATGAGAAGGTTGAGGAGCCAGAGAACCACCAACCCACTGTCTGGGAATGAGCCTCTGGGATTTGCAAATTCTCTGGGTGATTTTTACATACACAAAAGCTTGGGAATCCCTATCTGGTGGGTGGGATGAGTTAAATGCAAAATGTATGTAATAGGGTGGAAGACCACCTTATTATGTTATAATAAGTGTGATAAGTAACAGAAAAAAAGAAGTAAATTTGCATTCATCACACAATACAGTGATTGTATGCGTGCACATCTCCCTTGCAAACATAGACCCTTTGGTGCAGGAAATAATCCTCAACACCTTCATATCCCTTTCTCCTGGATCTTAGTGTGTATTGAAGGGAAGCAGAAGACATTAGGACTTAATGCAGGGAAAGCTGCTTAGAGGTGGAAGGAAATATGGGGTGTGTTAGGCTGGGAGAGGGAAGGAAATTTGGCTTTGGGGAATAGGGAAGCCAGGGGGAAGGACACGCTCACTGGGATTAGGAAGTGAATAATGAACAGGCTCTTGTTTCGAGAGTCCAAATTATGAGGGCCTCTCGGAATCAGTTGGGTAAACCATCTATCTTCTGCTACCCCAATGAGCGGATAGTGTGGGGGGTAAAGTCGGGGGGTGGTGGTGAGATGGTGGGACTCTCTAAAGTCCATGGACCTCACACTTATCTCATACTTATGGATTCTTTTTGGTCACTTCCAAAATGTACGGATTGTTTTTGAAATAAAACTGAAAAATACATTTGAGAAAAATACACATGCTCAATCAAGATACAATCATCTTTTTGAAAAAGTATTTAACACTATTATTGGCTATTACAATGATCATAACTTTTGATTACTCAGTAATACTCTTCTGGAAATTTGTCTTCAGAAAATGGTCCAGAAGGACAAGGTTTGCGCAGGAAGGTTTTTACAATGGAACCATCCCTATTAATGAAAAATCACAAACAACCTAAATGTTCAATAGTAGAGTAATTGTTATGTAAATGGTGATATATTAACATATAGAATAATATGCAGAAATCAGCAATCCCCATCTGGTGATAAGGAACAGGGAAGGATGAGGGCTTATGGTAGTAAATGGGGTTAAAATAATATATATTTGGGAGAGTGTATGGAAGGAAATTGGTAAACAGCTTAATTTGTTGGAAAGAATTATGGATGAACTAATTTGTTTTCTGTTAATGAATGGGTTTTGAATAGGATTAAAAAGGAAAGAAAAATCGAAATTCTTCTGTCCTGTCAAAGAACTTTTACTCGAAGGCTTTTGGCGAGGAATGGTGGGAACTTCCTTCCCCCATTAACGTCTTGAGTGGGAGGGAAGAGTCTGGACCCTATGTGGGCGGGTTATTTGAGTATGCAAGCCTGTGGAGTGTGTGTTTTGGGGGATGGAGGTGTGGAATGTGAAGACAGCTCTTAATTGTTACCAAACTCTAAACTGTGTGGAGGGGCAGAAAGTAGCATTGTCGAGACTGGAAAACCCCTTGGCTAAAAAGAGGAGTTGACTGAGGTTGGGGAGTGGGGGTGGGGAGGATGAAGAAGGAAAGGGAACAGGATGAAGTTATCAGGTTAAGTTAAGTTTCCAAAGACCTGAGCAGAAAATGCAGACAGGTGAGCCCTAATTAGTTAGCAAAGGTGGAGTCTCATTTTTGCCTAAGTGGTTGTTCTCATGCAGACTCCCTATCGAACCATTATTCTGAATTTCGCTGTGCTCTAGTGCTTTGATTTGTAAAGGTCACTGATCCAGTCTTGTAGACCCTCTCTTCCCACCGGAGGAAGCAGGAAGGCCAGGCCATTCTGACCAATGAAAATTCTAGTGCTGAGCTAAAACCATCCCAGCAAGGGACTTCTGAGAGTATTAGCACCTCAATGAAAGTGATAGACATGCCAGGCAGTGGACCATCCTGGGGATGGCGGTTGCCTTCCTGGTTATTTACTTAATGAATGGTTTATTTCCTTAGCCACCTGTTAAACGTGCCTGGGAGGTAGTTGTCAACTAACAAAGCCCCTGATGGATAGCTTCCCTGCTGTCCTGATGCTAAGAAGATTTCCATCTACAGACTCCTGCATATACTTATTCCTGGCCCTTCTCTCTTTCTCTCTGGGGCCAGACAATGAGGTCTCAGTGATGCATTCACAGTCAAAGCCACTTGATCCTCTGGAATCCAGAGTGTCCTCAGCAGGGAGGCTTTTGTAGGTGGCCCCTGTCTCCCCTTCTCCCCCCAACACATAGACACCCCTGGACCTGGGACCTCCCTTGCTAGAGTCGGCTGAACCCTCTCTAACCTCTCTCCCCCTCCCTTCATTGATAAAAACAGATTTACCTTTCTGGATCTTGTGTATCACTCAGTGATAGTATCGCTCTTTGGTAAGAACTCAATAAATGATAGGATTAAATTAATCATCATGGTAACCCTATAAATACAAGGGAAGGCAAGATATTGTCAGCCTTACTCCATACATGTTGGTTCTAGCTCTGGAATCTTTTCCAAAGGTTCAGAGAAGTAAACTGTGAGCTAAACAAATGCCTAAGACTTCATAAAAGGGGCCAAATGGAGCAGCTCTTGTGAAGCCTAGGAAGTAAGCAATTGGTGTCCATCATGGCCTGAGGTGAACTGCTTTGAACTTAGAGCTTGGGCTGATCTGAAAGGGACACAATAGGTATGTTTTGGTATATTAACCCAGCCTTGTAACACGTGCCAGTCAGAAGTGGCTTCAAGAACTGTGGTTCCGAGGGGCACCTGAGTGGCTCAGTCGGTTAAGTGTCCGACTTCAGCTCAGGTCATGATCTCATAGTTCATGAGTTCAAGCCCCGAATCAGGCTCTGTGCTGACAGCTCAGAGCCTGGAGCATGCTTCACATTCTGTCTTCCTCTCTCCTTGCCCCTCCCATGCTCAAGCTCTGTCTCTCTTTAAAAAATAAATAAACGCTAAAAAAAGTAAAAAATAAAAAGAACTTTTGGATTGAACTGCTCTTAAATAGGGCTGGAGGCAGGGCTAAATTAATAGCCTGGAGAAACATAGCAAAGCCTGGAAAACATGAAGACTTCGAACCCTAATCGAACTGATTGGAAAGTAATTAAACATACGTGTATACACATATGTATTTCTTTAAGGAATAAGAGTTCATTGTTTAGGTATGACAACGACAATACGGTTACTACTTTTTAAAAGTATTATATTTTAAAGATTGCAGTTTGAGGCATTTATGAACCAAATGATAATTAGTATTGAAATAGTCACGGAGGGAAGTGATCTAAATGAAAACAAAATTGGCTATAAGTTGATCGTTGTCAAAGCTTGGTGTTGAGTGCATGGGGGATTGTTAGTGCATTATTTTGATTTAGTATATGTTTAAATTATTCTGTAATAAAAGGTTTTTTTAAAAATCCTGTTGGAGAGGGCCGCCTGGGTGGCCGAGTCAGTTAAGTGTCTGACTTCAGCTCAGGTCATGATCTCATGGTTCATGAGTTCAATCCTCACATCGGGTTCTATGCTGACAGGTCAGAGCCTGGAGACTGCTTCGGATTCTGTGTCTCCCTCGCTCTCTGCCCCTCCCCCACTCACGTTATATGTGTGTGTGTGTGTGTGTGTGTGTCTCTCTCAAAAATAAATAAACATGAAAAAACATTTTTTTTTTTAATCCTGCTAGAGGAAATAAGAATGAGGGAAGGTAGCTGACAAAGCCCCTGGCACTTATCCTCCTGTGTTTTACAGAGTCTGCAGAAGGCTACAGATGTGAAAGATGTGGAAAAGTATTTACCTACAAATATTACAGAGATAAGCACCTCAAATACACCCCTTGTGTGGACAAGGGTGACAGGAAATTTCCCTGCTCTCTCTGCACACGATCCTTCGAGAAGCGGGACCGGCTCCGGATCCATGTCCTTCACGTTCATGAGAAGCACCGGCCTCACAAGGTAAGAAGTAGGGTGACGAATGATGGGTGGCCCGTTACTCACATTGCTTTCCTGCTCCTTTCTCAAACCCCTGAAGACACAGTGAGGGTCCCCTGGATGTGAGTTGCTGGGACACCGTGCTTGATGATGTAGGGTCTATGAAGAAAGGGACGGTGCCGTGGAGGGGCACACAGGAGCTACCGCGTCACAGTGCTAGAATGGATGCATGAGGTTGAGAGGACACAAAGGAAGGGTGTCCACTTCTACCTGGAGACGTGGGTTATGAAAGGCCTCACAGAAGAGGTGGCCTTGAGCCTAGTCTAGAAGGACAATGGGATGTCTGATTTATGTCAGAGGCAGAGGTGGTTGAGGAGGGGGAGAGGGTCGAGATGTTCCGAGCAAGAAGGAGCCTGGCATGTGCTTTTAGATCACTGTACGTTGTTCTATCATCTGTGCAGGCATATTGACCATTGTAGATAAGGATGAGGCAGAGGCATGGCCCAAAGAATGGAAGGCATCTGTGGCATGCCAAGGATTTTGTCAGGAAGAAAAGCAACAATGGCCATAGGGAGCCATTTTCTGCTATTCCGGATATCTGGTTGCTCTGCCGGACTTGGTGAAAAAAGGTGCATGCACCATTGAGCCTGTTTAGAAGAAAGGATGGGACTTAGTGCAGACAGACATGGGTGTGGCTCCCAGCCCTGTCGAACTGGCTGATGAGGCTACCACCCGAGCGACCCCAGAGTCCCAGTTCTGTTCACTTGAAAAGCGAGAGTAATCTTCATAAAATTGCCCGTATCTTCCCCCACTGGTGGATCTTATCTGTTCACGGCTAAGCTTGCAGGGAAATCCCAGTCACTATATTACTTACTCCTAGAAAGTTTGAGGAGTTTTACAATAATCGTGTCATTTTGCTCATCAAAAGACATTTAACACAATTAGTTTTCAACAACCCCTTGGTGGTCCAGATCTACAAAGATCTCCACACCAACCCAGTCCCCTCCAAATACCACTTCCCACAGAAAAGCACATACTTACCAGAATTCTAAGAACATTTGAAGTATAAGACAGTGAGATTACTGGGGTGCCTGGGTGGCTTAGTTGGTTAAGCGGCTGACTCTTGAGTTCAGCTCAGGTCATGATCTCAAGGTTCATTAGTTCAAGCCCATGTCAGGCTCTGCGCTGGCAGCACAGAGCCTGCTTGGGATTCTCTCTCTCTCTCTCTCTCTCTCTCTGCCCCTCCTCCCCTTCTCATGCTCGTTCATGCTCTCTCTCAAAATAAACATTTTAAAAAGTGATAAATTTATTTCCAGTTTTTACTGTTTAACGTGGGAAAAGAAAGTATGTTTGGTAAATATATTTTGGACAAAACAAAAGCCTCCTGATATGCTATGACCCAAGTTAAGACATTTAAGGTGTAATGTTTTTCTCTACGTGTATATGTACATTTATGTATTTTTAGCATACTTGGGGATATTCTGAGGCTAGTTTTCTGACTTAACACAACATCATGAGTCATTTATAAACATAGTAATGGCTGCATCAGTATATATTAGATGGATGTGCTATCATTGATTTAACCAATCTTCTGCTTTGTGATTTTTTTCCCCCCAGTGTTGCTGTGGTGAACAATATTATATACAAATCATTCTCTCTGTTATCCATGTCTGATGATTTCTTTGGGATAGATTCCTAGAAGTAGAAAAACTGGGTCAAAGGGTGTATACAATTTGAAGGCTCTTGAATCGAGGCACTAAACTGTCTTCCAGAGAATGTGTCGATTTGTAGTCCCGCCCGGGGTGGGGGCTTGTGTGTGTAGCAGGCAGCACCAGGTCTCCTGCAATGCTACTGTCCTTCTTTACATTGTCATTATGATAGACGGAAACGGTATCTTGCTTTACTTTGCATTTTAATTAATGTGGTCTAAATGTTTAAACTATATTTTATTGGCACATTGTATTTGTCTTGTGATTTATCAATTTATGTCCTTGGAAAAGATTTCTATTGCTACATGTTGTAGTAATAATGTTTTACAAGCTATATTGTATCAATTCCGGGTTGGAGTTTTTTCACATCTTTATGTTCCTGAAATTGGAGTGTGTTCAACAAGTGACGATATGCCACCATCCCAATTGGTGGCATTTTCCTTGTTAGCACAAAAAGTAATGGTGGATCTTACAGCTGATGAGATACACCATTTAGGCCGTTTGTCAGATTTGCTGCAGCTACAAGACCAGGGGGTGTTGGTTAACAAAGGAGAAGCTGTCGGATTTGTTTTTGTTTTCCACTAAAAAGAATCGAAGAAAAGGTTATCAGAGCTCGATCAAGATATTTCTGCTAGAAAGTTGGCTAGGTCATTTGCTTAAACTCTGAGGACGGTGTTGGTCTTGAGTCGGGGTTTGAGTGGAGAAGCTGTACTCAGATGCTGCCATCTTTTTTTTTTTTAATGTTTATTTTTGAGAGAGGTGTGTGTGTGTGTGTGTGTGTGTGTGTGTGTGTGTGTGCGCGCGCACGCGCGCGCCCGTGTGCATGAGGAGAGGGACAGAGAGAGGGAGATAGGATCTGATCTGAAGTCTCTGTGCTGAGAGCAGAGAGCTGATGTGGGGCTTGAATTCATGAATGTGAGATCATGATCTGAGCCAAAGTCAGTTGCTTAACCGATTGAGCCACCCAGGTACCACAGGTGCTGCCATCTTTGAGACTGAGGGACCGTAGACCAGGCTGTCAGTGGATGACAGAGACGAGAAAGAAGGCATGGAGGCTGGTCAGAGTGAAGTGAGGAGTTGGGTTTTATGGTAGAGTGGAGAAAGAATCATTTTTTAAACTGGCAATAGAAGAGGATGAGTCCTGTGTCCTCAGTGTTCCCACAATTCTTCTTTAGTGATCTTCTCTTTGCAAACTCTCCCTGAGTGGTCTTGTCTCTTTTATTATGACTAAGTAGCATTTCACTTTGGATGTTGATCCCTGGCCAAGAGCTCTGACCTGAGCTCATGAAGCATGTATCTAGCTGCATTCTAAGTATCTCAACCTGAATTTCTCATGGCACTCCTTTTCTTATTTTTACTGGTAAGCATTTTTTAATGCTTTTTTTAGTTTTCTTTATTTTATATACTTAAGTAGAGAAGACTTTTAAAATCTACCCCAGGGGCGCCTGGGTGGCTCAGTCGGTTAAGCGTCCGACTTCGGCTCAGGTCATGATCTCGCGGTCGGTGGGTTCGAGCCCCGCGTCAGGCTCTGGGCTGACAGCTCAGAGCCTGGAGCCTGTTTCAGATTCTGTGTCTCCCTCTCTCTGACCCTCCCCCGTTCATGCTCTGTCTCTCTCTGTCTCAAAAATAAAAAATAAAACGTTAAAAAAAAAAAGGTAGTAAATTTGAAAAACATTTCTTTAAAAAAAAAATAATAATAATATAAATAAAATCTACCCCAAACATATCCTCTCTCCTGTGTGTGCACATAAGCACACCTGAGGAGCAGGGTGTGGAGGCAAAATATGTTCCTTTACCTGGTTCGGGATCCTGGAAAAGATTCAGCAGGTGTCATGAGGGTCAAGAGCACAGAGAAACGACATGAACCTTTGACAGCAGGTGAACACATGCTGCATCACATGCTTTCACTGGACTCCCAAACTGGTACTTTTTTTGTAGGTACAATGTGTCTCAGACCACCTGCCACCTGTTTTGCCATCTGGGGCTCCATAATCATCACCACACCCACTAGTTTTTTAGCTCCTTGTCTCTAGCAAAGTGTCGAGCACATAGTAGGTACTCCATAAATACTTGTTGAATTAAGTGGAGTGGTGCCCATCAAGAAAAGCAGGAGACAAAGGGTCCAAGTTTAACTGACTTGCTCTGGTCACACAGCTACTTGTTGACAGAACAGGACTAATTCATGCTTCTCTTCCTGTTCACTTCCCACCTTGTACATCTGAAGCAGCTGACAGCCAGAGACTTTAGAGGAATTATGGAAAGCCACAGCATTGAGCAGGCTCTGGACCAGAACTCATGCTTCCAGATTCTTCTGGTGTAGCCCTGGGTTGTCTTTCTACTACTTTAATTAGACCCCTCAGCCTTAGTCTACTTGATCCTCTGGCTACAGACATATGCAAGATAAATAGAATATTTTACCTCTTACTCCCAGATAAACATAATGGTAAAATGAAGACGTGATTTTTAACTGCATGTTTCTTTTACACCTTAGTGTTCTACGTGTGGGAAATGTTTCTCTCAGTCTTCCAGCCTAAACAAACACACGAGAGTCCACTCTGGAGACAGACCATACCAGTGTGTATACTGCACAAAGGTAAATGGAATCTTCTTCCAAGGGATCTGCCTTGAGCCCTGTTTGGATGGATGTTCATGGCTAAGAACTTGAAGCATAAAGCCTGGCTTATAAGGAGTTCTTGGTTAGTCCATTATCAGCCCAAACCCCATTTCCATCCCTAAATATGTTCCAGTTTGCTTAAGATGATCAGACACGATCTCCTACTGCCAAGTCGGCATTTGGGTCACGTGTAATGAAACACACCCTGCAGGGTTGTCTGGATTCAGTCGGTAGAACATACGACTCTTGATGTTTGAGTCGGAGTTCAAGCCCCACGTTGGATGTAGAGATTATTTAAATAAATAAACTTAAAAAAACCTTTTTTTTAAAGAAATACACCCCTGATTTACAGACAGCCCTGATGATTGCAGACACAATTACATAATATTGAAGAGCACAAACTCCTCTATCTTTCTAGAGCAACATTGCTGAAATGGAATCTAATGTACATCATACAGAATATTGAATGATTAAAATGAAGACACAAATATGTAAATATGTAGTTAGGAGTTGCTGGAATAGAAACAATGGTTTGACCATGCTTTAGACATTATATCAAAATATCTCATGTCCTGTTTTGATGATAAACATCTGTGCTGCCCAATGCTTAGTGAGCCATTAACCATATGTGGCTATTTAATTTAATAAAAACGAAATAAAATGGAAAGTTCAGTAATTTGGTTGCACTATGCACATTTCAAGTGCTCAATAGACCCATGTGGCTGCTGACCACCAAATTGGATAGCACGGACACAACATTTCCATCATTGCAGCAAGTCCTATTGCATAGGAATAGATTGATTCTGTCATCGGTTTTATATAATAAAGCCATAAAAGGAATATAGGCTGTCTTAGGGGGACGTCTCAACCTCCCACAGAAGAATAAAACATTGAGCGCACCAGACTTGGGGAAACCTACTGCCAAAGAAATTGTGGGTCAATAGAATGGTCATAATCAACATGGCGAAATGAGGCTGAGCCAGAAGTCGACCATGTGGAGCCGGCACAAACTGAAGGAAGGTGACCATGGATTTGTGTGAAAAAAGCAGCCTCTCCTGAGGAATAAATTCTGTCCAGGATATCCAGAGCAAGGTCAGAATAACTCCACAACGCATTCTGTTTCTGGAGTTCTTACTCTGATCCCTACCTTGTAACTTCTAACTAACCTGGTATTGAGAGATGTTCTGAAAGGGAACTAAATATTTGGCCTCCCAGTTGACACATTAGATTTCAGTTACTTAAGCTGATGAAGACTGACCATGTGTGGGTGTTCAGGCAGGTACAGCTTATGAACCTGACTAGGCAGTGACGCAACTGCACATGTGCCCAGACACCCCGTTGTCCAGTGCTTCTCTCTCAGCCCCCAAATCCGGGGTCACCAGTTTAACCAGTGTTTTATACCACAGTCAAAGAACCCCAAAATGAAGTCATTATGACTCTAATATACTACTTGAAGGTGACAAGTAGTACTGAAATGAATGAGGGAAAGAACAGAAGTGGCCAAGAAAAGATACGTAAACACAGCAAAGTACTTGGGAATCTAAAATGTGACAACCATTCTGAAAAAATTTGGCAGTTTCACTAAAAACTAAACTTGGTAACTGCCATACAACCCAGCAATTGTCCTCCTGGTCACTTACCTTAGACATGAAGGTTTATATCTTTACACAAAAACCTGTGCACAAATGCTTGTAGCAGCTTTACTCATGAGAACCCACACCGGAAACAACCCAGATGTCCTTCAACGGGTAAGTGATTGAACAGACTGGGCACATCCACACCAGGGAGAGCTACCCGGCAATAGAAACAGCATGAGCTGTTGTCCACACACCAGCCTCAAAAATGGAGAACAGTTAGCGGTTGTTACGGCTTAAAAGAAAAAAGTGGGAGTGAGAGGGATCAGTATGGCCCTAAAAGGGCAACGTGAGGGGTCGTCATGATAAAATTGTTCTGGTCTTCACTATCAACATCAGAATCCTGGTTGTGATACTGTACCGTAGTTCTCCAAGAGGTACCACTGAGGGAAACTCTGTAAAGGGTACACAGAATCTCTAATATTTCTTAAGACTGCCTGTGAGTAAACAATCACCTCAAAAAGTTTTAAGTTTACAAAAAGAAGACACTGGGGTGCCTGGCTGGCTCAGTCCGTGGAGCGTGCGACTCTTGGTTGTGGGGTTATAAATTCAAGCCTTGTGTTGGGTGGAGAGATTTCCTAAAAATCTTTAAAAAAAAGAAGAAACCAATAAGATACTGCTTTATGCAAGACCGTGGCCAATACGAACTACTCCTCTAATGCACGTTCTCTTGGTGTGGTCCTGGGTCCACCTGCATTGGAATTGCTTGTTTATACGCAGGGTCCTGAGCCTCATGTCTGTCATGTCCTTTTGTTACTAAGACCCGCTACTGTTGACGAGGAGTGCTCTATAGCCTTAAAACCCAGATTCATCTATTGGAGAACTAAGGATCAGTGACGTTGAAGTTAACCCCTTTGTCTAGTTGGCTGTGCAGGTGATGGAAGTTTACTTTTTCTTCTGCTGTCTGTTCTCTGCAGAGGTTCACTGCCTCCAGCATCCTTCGCACGCATATCAGGCAGCACTCAGGGGAGAAGCCCTTCAAATGCAAGTACTGTGGTAAATCTTTTGCATCCCACGCGGCCCATGACAGCCACGTCCGTCGCTCGCACAAGGAAGATGAGGGCTGCTCCTGCAGCATCTGTGGAAAAACCTTCCAGGATCAAGAAGCGTTCTACTCCCACACGAAGCTTCACGAAGGCTACTAGCCCTCAGTATGGGGACAATGTAAAAACTAAATGCTAGGATTCTGTCTTTGTTTTCCTTGCTTACGGGTGTGTCGTACGAACAGATGATAGTTTTACTAAGATGAGAAGCAGAAAAATGGAACCGGCCAAAAAGCTGATTTCACCAGCTTTCACAGAAATGTTCTTCACAATTTTTAACAAAAATGGAATTTTGGTGAATTTACCTAAAAGTAGTGAACGCTGACTATTCATAGAGAGCTTCAGCGTCTGGAAACTCAACACAAACCCTGAGGGAGGGACTGGAGTAGAGTTTGATTTTTGTGATGAAAAAGACCTTTTCTCTATTCGTTTTAGACCCCCAGTTGTCACGTCTGTGGCCATCACCTGGTCTATTCTTCATAGAATAAATTCTTTAAAAGTCCATTCAACTCTGAGCTTCCTTAGTATTGTAACTGTTTGGACATAGATTAGTCTGCCATCTTTCTTGTATTTATTTTAAGCCCTTAGTTCCCACCCTCCCCCCATCACATGACAAATGCAGGTTAATTTGTTCAGCACCACACAGAATTACTACGGACACAGAAGTTACGTATTCACGCCATCGTCTGTGAGCTTTGTAATTGGGGAAGAAAAATTATTGCCAAATGAGAAAAGACTTAAAAATTGCAAAAGACTAAAAACTTAAGTGTTTTTATACTGCTCTAGTTTCAAACCTGATTTCATTCCTGATGATGGCACAAGCGGAATTTTTTTCAGGCCTAATTAATTAGCCGGTTCATACTCTATTTAGAATGTAGAAAGAAGAGGCCCACCGAAAAGAAAAATGTGCTGTATCAGCTATCACGAGGCTGATGCAAGCCTTGGGGAATGTCTTCTAATATGTGAGCGACCACAAACTGATTGCACGTGGGTAATATTAGCCAACATTTGTAAATGAGCATGAACCCTGGGAAATGGTACTGAGCTCGCCATTTATGGATAAGGAAATCGAAGCCGAGGGTAAGGAGGTGATGCAGCGGTAGCCTCCAAGGGACAAAGCCAGGTGGGCCCAGCTCCGCCACTCAGCCTCTTACCAAACCAGCATGCTCCATTATGAATCCTGCTCAGGACACAGCGTTTTCCCATCAACTAACCCATTCCTCCCCAAATTAGAGCAAACAGCACCACACTTTTAAATATTCTACATGGAACATTCGAGACCAGAATAAAAGTGTTTCGTAGGCGACCAGAGCTACTAAGCTAGAATGTCACATCCCCAGCCATGGTGGTATTGACCGTCTAGGATTTTCCTTCACCTTTTATCCATGGTCCACAGCTCTCAAAATGGAGCAAATTCAATATAGAACAGATGCCCCATCCAGAGGGAGGCTCCCAGCTGTAGCAGAGTCCTTTGAGAAAGAGATGTAGTGCAGGTGGAAAAGCAGTGACAGATTTTCCTCTGGGGAATCCTTTGCTGCCTTGACTAGGTCTTGGTAATTTATCCTAATGGGAATGTGCCCTGTTGTTTTAGGACTGTTTTAGTTCATGTTAATTAAGTCAGAACAATGGTCTTTTGAAAAGACTGGGACTCATCCTGTAATTAGGCAGCCTTTCCTTGACTGCTAGTTCATTTTAAAATCAAACGGGTAAAAGCAAGACATCAGGAACTCAGTGATGTGGATTTTTTTCACTAGTTGAATAATTCAAATTAAGTACTTTGTTCTTTGGGCAAGCATGGTAGCAAAGAAAGGTGTGGGGTTTTTTTGTTTTTTGTTTTTTGCTTTTTTTGTGTGTTTTTGTTTTCTCTTTTTCTAACAGGGCATGCAAAATAATATAATATTTGGGAGCAAGCAGGCTTAATCTGACCTACTTCCACAAAGTTTGGGTCATCCTGATTGTGTTACATACCTCAATTTTTTGTTCGGAAAATGCAGTCAGTTCACAACATCCTTCTTTAATAATTACCTTAAGCTCTTTTGTGTTTATTTAAAATGTGTATCCTATCTATTTTTTTTTTAAAGTAAGCTTTGCACCCAACATGGGGCTTGAACTCACCACCCTGAGGGAGAACAAGAGTCACATGCTCTACCGACTAGCTGGCCAGACGCCCTGAAATGTGTATCTCATCTATTTTTAAAGATAATTTGAGTCAGCTTATAGCGATAATTTTTAAATTTTTTTTTCAACGTTTATTTATTTTTTTTGGGACAGAGAGAGACAGCATGAATGGGGGAGGGGCAGAGAGAGGGAAACACAGAACCGGAAACAGGCTCCAGGCTCTGAGCCATCAGCCCAGAGCCTGACGCGGGGCTCGAACTCACGGACCGCGAGATCGTGACCTGGCTGAAGTCGTACGCTTAACCGACTGCGCCACCCAGGCGCCCCATATAACGATAATTTTTAAAAGACTAGGACAGTCAGAGTAGAAGACTAGCCATTACATAAAAGTAGAATGAAATGAAAGCTCGGCACAGATACAGCTACACTGACTGGATATTGGCTGGACATAGCACACAGGATACAGATTTTGGAGGTGGACAAACTTGTATTTGTTTACCGTGTTCTCATTTAATTCATTTAATTTCTGAGGCTTAACATTCTCCTCTGTAAAATAATGTCATAGTTATATTGTAGGGTGGTGTTGAGAAGATTGAATAAAAGGAGGTGACTCTCATTATGGGCGATACTTAATAAATCTATTTCCTTTTTCTTGTAAGTCAGGCAAACGGGAGATGGAATTCTGCAAATTTCATTGTTGATAGACAGCCTTTCCTTCAGTGGGTCTCAAAACGTGTGATTCCTGAAGGCGCAGTGTCAACATCACCTGGGGACTGGTTAGAAAGGCAGATTCCCTAGCCCTACCCAGTGTCTAGGGAATCAGGACTTCTGGGGGTGGGGCCCAGCAATCCATATTAAAGTTTGAGAACCGTGGCTGCATTTGATTTCTCTTCCTAGTCCCTGCAGCACGGCAGTGGGTAAAACTGAGTCGCTGGGTGACTTGGCAAAACCACAAATGCTGTTCACGAAGAGAACGCAGATGGCAGGCACAACAGCAGTCTTCCTTGGGAAAATGGGTGCCAACGCAACCCTGTTGGAAATGTGGAACTTTCTGCAGCTATGACCTGACGATGGAATGTAGAAAGCCTCTCATGACTCATCTCCCCTTTGCCTGACTGACAAGAGAAAGGAAATAGATTCTCTGGCTGTATTTCTTTTCCCAATCTAAGTCAGATGATAAATATCTGTTCATTCATTAGAGTTTTTTAAAAAATGTATAAGAAAGGGCATCTGAACTCTGGAAAAATAATGAGGCTCAAAGTAAAGTGGAATTCATGATATTGATGAGGCTCTTAATGGGCCCTCAGGGTGTCCTTCTAGGACTGGGAGAAGTTGCCAGTTGCAATGAACAAAGCCATCAAAACGGACAGATGCTTGGGACCTCCGTGAGGCCTGCGGTAAGCAAGGCATTGTAGCCATAAAGTCATAGCTCCATTTGTACCCAAGTAGTGCCGGGCACGTTGGGGGTTGGAGGAACTGCCATTCACAATATGTTAGACATAAGATCACAATTACTGTCCCAGAACATCTACTATCGGTGAGTCTAATTTTGACATCACAGGTCGCACAGTATTTCATTCATGGTAGTTTTAAGTACTTTGAGAGTTACTTATGACTTTTTAGGGGCAGTAGTTGCACCGAACTCTGATTTCTTGGACCCTACCCAAAGGTCAGGAGAACAAATGTCTACACCGAATTACTTCAATAGAAACGTGTAACTAGAGGAGCACCTGGCTGGCTCAGTTGGTGGAGTGTGCAGCTCTTGATCTCGGGGTTGTAGTTTTGAGCTGCACATTGGGTATAGAGATTACTTAAAAACAAAATCTTAGGGGCGCCTGGGTGGCTCAGTTGGTTAAGCATCCGACTTTGGCTCAGGTCATGGTCTCGCGGTCTGTCGGTTCGAGCCCACGTCAGGCTCTGCGCTGACAGCTCAGAGTCTGGAGCCTGCTTCAGATTCTGTGTCTCCCTCTCTCTCTGTCCCTCCCCTGTTCATGCTCTGTCTCTCTCTCTCAGAAATAAATAAACATTAAAAACAAAATCTTAAAGGAGCACCTGGGTGGCTCAGTCAGTTGAGCATCTGACTCTTGATTTTGGCTCAGGTCATGATCCCAGGGTTGTGAGATCAAAGCTCCTCGTGTTGGGCTCTGTGCTGAGCATGCAGCCTGCTTGAAATTCTCTCTCTTCCTCTACACCTGTCCCCATTCGTGCATGCACGCACTCGCACTCTTTTTCTCAATAAAATCGTTTTAAAAAAAGAAAAACTTTTTTCAAATTTTATTTTATTTTTATTTACATTTGAGATGGAGGGGCAGAGAGCGAGGGAGAGAGTCCCAAACATGCTCCTGGTTGTCAGCTCAGAGCCCGGTGCAGAGCTCAAACTCACAAACCATGACCTGAAACCAAAAGTCTGACTCTTCCCTGACTGAGCCACCCAAGCTCCCCAAGAAAAGAAACATTTAACTAGAACATCATTTCACAGAGCTTTTTCATTGATTGACCTCCAACAAAATAGAATGACCAGAATTTTTAAGGAAGAATAGTGTTAATAATATAAAATAGAGGTAAACTTCTCCCTCCTTGATAATCTCTTCATAGAGTATGGGAATCTCACAGAAAACAATAGTTTTCTGTATTATTGTAAGAGGTTATACAAGAAATAACAAGTGCATGAAACTCATTTATTGTTGCAAAGAATTTTTACTTTATTGCTTTGCTGACTTAAAGTGACGGGTAAAATATGGCATTTTGAAATGAGATATTTAGCACTTATTGCCGCTAATGTAGAGAACGTTCAGGGAGAAGATTGTGGTTTTATTTTTGCATCTGTTCTCAGAGTAAAATATGCTTTCACGGTCACTTTTTCATCCTAAGTTATCTCGAGATTTTTGTGATCTCCTATATTAAAAAGTGGGGTAAATTGTGTGTGTGTGTGTGTGTGTGTGTGTGTGTGTGTGTGTGTGTGTGTGTTAACGAGTAAATTCTAT